TGTTGCAGCTATTAACGAGACAACCTATCCTGAAAGGCACCTTGAACCCCTCTGAAAACTCAATGAACTCGGCCTTTTTCTGTGAGGGCAAAAGGAATGCACACAGTTCATTTCAAAAATAGTCTAGAATTTAAGTAAATTAATGTGTGACTTTTCAACTGATAACCTCAGTTACATTAGCCTTGGGACTAACCCTTTAGTAGAACCTAAACAGTGACAGCCTGAATATTTATTCAGATGTTCCACAAGACAAAACCAAGGGCATTCAAAATTAAACGAGTGTCTAAAATCTCACACTTGAACTGTCAAGGAGTCAATTGGGATACCTTCAGACAAAAGAGAAATTAAAAAAACACAAAAACCCAAACCAATAAAACAACCTACTCCACTAATCCAAAACAACCCTAAAACACTGAATAACCTGCTTCATATATCAATCTAGAAGCTATTTAAAGAAAGCAACACTCATGGAAATCATTATGCAGCAGGGATTTCCCATACTCAGAAAACCTGAGAGATTTCTGTCCCATCTTCCTCAAGAGTTAGCCTGAACAGCATACAGACTTACTCTCTTTGGGTTTAAATATTTTTATAGTTGTTGTTTAATTAAATAAATAGGCCCTTTAATTTTACCCTGGAATACAAAGTCAAGTTGACTGAATCAAGATGGACAGAGATTATCTTCTGAATACATGTCAGTGTCTTAACCGCAATGCAGAACGCTTAGGTTTTAGCCAAGTGCTGGAGTTTTAAGCCAACATTTCAAAATTACTTGGCAGGGGGGGAAGGGAAGAGATATAAAGTAACTCTTTTCCCAAATTTTCTTTCCCTTCTGCAAAGCTTATTTTATCTTTCAAAAAAATTTTGGGCCTAAATCTTCTACGGTGAAAAAATTTAAGAATAAACAGAAATACCAAAATATTGAGAAGCAGACTGACTTCTTTAAATTAAATATGTTTTAAAATCATAAACTCAGATGTTTAGTCTGTGCATGAGATTTCTTTCAACTTATCTTCACCAAGACACAGTTAGAAAGAACAGGATGTATCTAGTATAATAATAAGAATAGGGCAGTACTTCATCTGCGCATGTTTTTAAGATGTTGGAATTTTTCTGGGTGAAATATAAGACAATGTATGAAAATTAAAGTGACAGATTATGAATATTTCAAAGATAATAATTTATATTTTGCTTGCACAGTGACACACCATGCAAATTTTCCCATCTATAATATTCCATTTTAGGGCTGATTATCTTCCATTTTGATGAAAAGCATATTTTGACTGGACAGATACGCATGCAATGATGTATACCACCTCACCAGCAGAGAGTGTGTACCTTTGAGAAATAAATGATAACTATGTGATACTTACTATTATCTTTATGAAATATGTAAGTGTTTAGATTTTAGACTAATAAGTTCTGATGATCAATATAATCACAGACAGGTATAAAGCCCTTTTTTTTAAGAACCTCAGAAAAGGTTAAGAGAAGCCAAGGTCCATTTTTGGAAGTTCCTGTACTCAGTGTTTATGAAAATCCAGAAGATGATGCATATACAAAAGAACAACAGATTCTTGCTTGCTTTAACACTTTTACTCTTTTTTGATGTAGCTTTTGAAAGAGTTATTGTATAGAGTCCCAAAAGATACAGTGCAACCTAACAGCTCCCTGCTGCAAAAGAGAATTTGATGAAATTCTGCTAGACACATGTTAAACCAACTACTGAGGATCAGAACCACACAAAAAGAAAAATCTTCCAGTAGCATTTTTTTTTTCATTTACTCAGCTACTGTACAGCCTATGATGACTTGTTTTCCTTTAGTTATACGAACAGTTTGACAGATTACTGTGACAAGGTTACTTTCAAATTGATAAAAGGTTTGATAGTGTCAGAACATTTGTCAGAAATGTCTCACATCACGTGTAATGGACTCTGCACTTCAAGCATCAATGGTACTCCAGCCTGCTGTTTTCTGTTTAGTGTGCAATGCACACCAACAAAAACACACAGCAGAAAGACAGAAAAGCAGGCAGGATTCATCAAAACAGCCCCGTACTTTATCAAACAATTCTGATTAAAGGGTTTCTCTTCCTTAACCCACCTCGCAAAATGCAATTAAATGAAAAACTTTACACGTGACTTGAAGGGTAGCCTCCTTATGGGACTCTAAACCTGAACTGGGATGGGATATGATAATGCACATAAACATAAGTGTTCCCAGCATTTTCTGAAAGAGAAATATTGTTGGTTTTGAACATTATTCCTCAGCCTGCCAAATGTGAGATATTAGAAGTGATAGTTGTACTGCTAGCAGCCCTGTCCCATGCTAGAGCAGAGGAAATGGGGTCAGAAGGGCTCATTTTAGGCACTGGCAACTAGCCTATGGGAACCAGTGTGCTGGACATAAGCCAGCTTTGGTGAATACTTCCCTTAAATACAACTCTCCAAAAATATTGTACTTCAAAATAATAATATGTTTTAAGGACTGGAATTAAGGTTTTCACATCTTGCAGCAAACAATGCTAATATTAGGCTATGCAGGAAGCCTAGGAGCCAGCAGCTTCTGCTCATTTGTAAAGATCTGTTCACATGAAGACTTTAATGCCTGGTGAAGCCCCAGCCATGTAAGCTACAGGTGAGCTCTACAGCGGACAACATTTCTGAGCAGAAAAATCCTTCTTGTTCAAAAAGCAGCAGACTGTTTGGTTTGGTTTTAGATGGGGTTTTTGAGGAGAAGAGCTGGGTTTGAGGCTTTTTTGGGGTGTGAAGTCAGGGGAAGAGGTAAGGTCTTTAGCTAGCTCTACTGTGTAACCAGCTGCAAAGGTAGACAAAACATCTTCCAATATTTTACTTAAAATTTACACACTGCTGACATGAGCAAAGGTGTCTGAGATTGCTTAAAATATCACAGACAAGGGTATGAGAAAAATTAAGATTTAAGCATTTCTCAGATCACACTGTGGCCTGGAAAGGAGGCAGGGGCAATGCACCAGAGCTGCCAGTACAAATTCTTGTATTTTCAAATGTTTAAGTTTCCCTTCATTGTCTTTCTCTTCTGCTTTGATAAATTATTTTAATTTTCTAGAAAAAAGAAGTTGGAAGAAGTATCTGGTTTCTCCTTACTGACATTCAGCCAAAGGATAGAAAAATCAGTAAAATGAGTGTCAGCATTTCTGTTAAAGAGCATCTGTTCACACAGGAACCCCATGACAGCAAGACAAAGCCCTCTAATCTTATCAGATTAAGTTTAGTGGAGCACATTAAAAATTTTGCCACAGTGCTAAAAGGAAGCTCTCAGATACTTGATGTGCACTTCCCATACGCAGACAAGGGGTAGGGACACACTCTCTGAACTTCATGATTCAAGTATCACTGCTCACACCACAGTCTCACACCATGATGCTTAAGCACCAAAGCTGTGAGGCTCCTTTAGGAATAGTTAGTTCAGTCCTGATCAGCTGAAAGCATTAATGTGAACTGGAGAAGGGTCAGACTGCAAGAAGATGTATCACAAAACAGCTTTTTGAACGTCAGCAGACTACAGTCAATTTATACCTACTGAGAATCTGTCCCTTGAACTGGGATTATCTGTGACTGTCACATGTGGAAAGTGTCGATGAATGTAGTTGGTACAAATGTCAGACAGGTACACTCACATTTCAGCTTGCATGAAATACGAAACGTCACCAGCACACTATTCTCCTGTGAACAGTGAATCAGTTCAACCCACAGAAGCTTTAGTAGCAGAAAGTCACAGGGAAGAATTTCAAGTTCACATAATTTTACTCAAGTCTGGATATCACTTCAGTAAGATTGCTAGCTCCAGTTCTGGCCAGTCATGCACACATAACGTGTACTCAGGGAAGCCTTTCAGGATTTTTGATCAAAATCAGGAAAGGCAGAATGTTATAAAATTGAAAAAAACCCACTAAATTGTTACTCCTATTGCAAGTTTCAAAACAACAGTCATTTGGATTAAGGTCTGTAGATCAGCCCCAAACCAAAATTCCCTTATTGATACCTTTTTGAAAGGCTGATTTTTGACCACAAAATACAGAGATTATGTTGTTTTTTGGACTGTATGGCAAAAACACTGCAGCTCTATATCATAATGAGAGGATTTTTATTTTTCAAATTTTTCCTTGTGCTTATTTCAATGCAAAAAAAAACAACCCATGTGTTATGCTTAATTCCATCATGGTGATCTCTGGCTGGAATCTCAAACTGGATTATTCCCCTGCACATATCATCAATGATAATCAAGACTTTGGAATTTCAATCATTTCATATTGCCCACTACATTTAGTCAAGAGAAGAAGGGTAGAAGAGTGCAGTGCTTTATAAAGTAGTACTTTTCACAATGCATGAGGAGCAAAGAGCTCCTTTATGCCACCTCTTAGCTTTCTACACAAATAAAAGACAATAAAACCAATCTTTATCAGTACAGTCTGCAAATATGACTTTCAAGATAAACAGGGAGGTAGAAAGTGCCACCTTCTACAGCATCATTTTTCAGTGGCACTGTAATTAATTAGACGTTAATTATAGGGCTACAAGGCCACCTTCAGCAGGTTTCATACTTCTCAAACTTTGAGCCCAGCAACGTGTGACACAGCAATCATAAAATGTGATAAATGATCAAGGGAGGAACACCCATGTTGTGTTGTGCACTGGGTTGTGATTCCCAGATCATTATAACTATAAAATCTGTCATTAGGGAGGTTTTCCTGCCATGCACATTCTCCTTTTAACATAAGAAATCAGCCACATTAGAACAAACAGAAGTCAATGTGAAGGCGCTCACCTCTTTTCCCCTAAACTCATTACCTGAAGGTTTTTAGCAGGCATTAATTAATCATTCAAACTAAAGGAAAAACAGTCAACCTTCAAGTGCAGGAGGTTTCTGATGCCTTTTAGTGGCCACACAAGTGTAAGCAGGAAGGCCAGCTCTGACATCTTGCTACAGAAAGACACTGAGAATTTTAAGGGCACTTACGGCTGGCACAGCTTGATAAGGTCCTGGTCGGTGGTGCCGGGTGGAAGGCCTCGAATGTACAGGTTGGTTTTACTCAACTGCTCTCCGCTGCTGTTGTTGCTGCTGTTGTTGCTGCTGTTTGTGCTGGGGCTGGGAGGAGCCATGGGGTGGGGAGCTGGTGCATAGGACTGCTGGAAACAGAGCAAAATGAAAAGGCTGTTACTGGAAAAGGCCAAATAGCATGGCAGAAGTGTGTGCTTTACCTAGGTAAATCCAGAACTATGCTGTGTTTGTCCTGCCCTCCCTGACCACTTCCAGCTGTCCACTGCTATGGCACTCCCTATGGCACTGCTATGTACCCACTCCCAGCCAAAATGCAAAACAGGACCAACCAACATTTTGTGTCCAGCCATAGATATGAAATGCATTAATCTACTGTACTTTTTAATTTGGAATTAAAGTAGCTAGATCACAAAACAAAACTCTGAAATGACAGATACTCAAGGAGTAACTAGCATTAAAGAAAGAAATTAAACACAATCTGCTCTAAGAGTACACTAAAACACAAATAAGAATATCTAGCCAAAGGTACAGAAGCTGGTGCCAGAAGCCAAGTTAGTCTTTTCTAAACATGAGGAGCACCCAGTACACACACAGTCAGGTGGCAGAGAGTTGGCTAGTCTGAGAGAAGAAAAAAATCCCAAAGCAGCCTGAAAAACACTCTGTTGTTACGGATGTCTTTCGCAACAGAGAAACAGGGTTTGGAAAAGATGATCAGGCCAAGACCTTCTGCTCTCAAAATCATACCCACTTCTGAACAACCACAAACCACACACAGCAACTGAGAAATATTGCTTAAGAAGTGAGGCATTCTTACAGGGAAAAACAGTATTCTCCCGTAACTCACTGGTAACTACATGCTGTGAAAAAAGACACGCACACGCTAGAAAAATTACTTAAACATCTCTGATCAGAGGCAACGACAGGGAATTTAAATTGCTCCAACCATCCCTGGCTCTCTGACCACTGGAGTATTTACTCACAGCACAGGGTGCTTGCCAGGAGAACAAAGGAGTGATTGGAAGGAGGAGGCCATCCTCCTGTGACCTATGCAGAAAAGCTGAAATCTAGGGAAGAACTTGCAGGAAACTGAAGGATCCTGAGGACCAAGCTCCAGATGAGCAGTCAGGGGAACTGAAGTCAGAGGTCCAGCAATGTAACTGCCTGCTGAGAGGGAGAAAATCCCATTTCCACAACCCAATCAGCACATTCTGCTAGCTTTATGTGTAGTGACAACAGCAGGTAAATGTTGGACCAGTGCTAAGTTAAGCATGCTATGCTAATGGACTAATAAAAGCAAAACATCTGCAATTTTCATTACAGCAGCAATGACACTTAAGTGACTTCTAACATGTCTGTTCTGCATTTAGGCCTTGAACAGAGAAAATATTTAAGTCTGTGGGAAATTCTGATCACGCTAATCAACTGCCCCTTTAATGTCAGTGCCTCTACTTTAGTGCTTATAATTATGCGCACACTAAATCACAGTCTTGGTAGATGGATTAGTAGCTCTAAACTATTTCAAACAAGTCCCTTTATTTAGTTCCTTATTTAGAGGAAAGAAATAAAAAAAATAAAAAGTTGGAGAATACAAGGGGAGCATCAATGACATGTGATGATCAGACATTTCAACGAAATGAAACAACACACTTGCAGCAATGCCTTTCCTCCTGGCCTCCTCCTTCCTTCTTCCCAGTTTCTCCCATTTAAACTAGGAGAGAGGGAATATTGTGCCAAGTGTCAAGACATCAGAATTCCTCTGCAATCTCACCTGGTTGTAATGTGACTCAAGCAGGAGCCATTAAAAGAAAAAATACCATTTTTTAGTGTGATCACCATGCTATCATGTAATGACATTCACTCTCCAGTAAAAGAGAAAGGGCAATGAGCTCCCTTCCCCAAGTCTCCGCACAGATACTTTTGCTGACAATCAAAAGCACTTAGTGCATAGGGATCATATTTCTCTGCACACGCATTTTATCACTGGGTAATCCCCACCCACTCAAGCTTCAATGTCATTCCCAGAAATAGAGAGCTGAAGAAGCAGCCTTGAGTAGCTTCAATGTCATTCCCAGAAATAGAGAGCTGAAGAAGCAGCCTTGAGTACCAGCACAGGCAACCACCTCAACTGAGCCCCAGCACTGGGGACACATCCTGGAAATCAGCTCCATGCCATGGCCACGGCCCAGCTGGTAGCACTGCAGGCAGCACCAACCTGCATTAAATAACATAGGCATCTGCACATTATAATATCCTGTCTGAAAGCATATTTAAATATACGTGCACTACAGGGCAATGGAAGAAGCAGGTATGACTGTATATAACACCTTGGGATTTAATATATCAAGAGCTCAGGAAATATCCTATGGTAATCTTGCACATTTTGAGCATTGCTAAGGTAAATTAAAAAGAGAAACAGAGGTTGAGGTTACCTTCTTACTGCTTTACCCTGCACCTCTCAGATTACCAGGCACACTGAAAGCATGTAAATAACATAAAGCAATGAAAGATCTTCCCATAAGCCAATGAAGTGCTATGTACTTTAATTATTAATTATTATTATATGTGTCTTAGCAGGGGATAATGAGTAAATGTCCTATTCTCACACCAACCTAATAAGCAAGAAAAAGAAAGAAAAAAAATGGAAATTTACCTTTGAAATACAAAGAGCAATTTTCATTCTATTATAAGATCTTTATCCTCACACAGAGGAAAACACTGGGGGCCTAATTCTAATTTAAGCTTAAGACATTTTATCCCTCTCAGCCAGCTGAAAGGGTATGTAGAAGTGAACACAAATTACATTTACACCAATTTTGAGGCCACAGCTATCAAAAAAAAAAGAAATAAAAGGCCTCAGTTTACAGAGAATGAGGCCATACGACAGGCTGTCCCTCAAGTAAGAGCTGCTCAGACAACAGGCACACATGGATGCCTGGGTTCACAGCAGTATCCTCAGAGATGTTCTAAGGGTGAGCAGAGATGCAGCCACACTCCACTTTGGGGGATGCTGATCTTCTCAACCCAACAAACACTGCTACACTCCAAACCCTCTTCACTAATAAATCTTAGCCACAGCAGCCCACAGTAATTTCCATGCATATCCAATACCCCAGAATACCATCTGCAGAAAGATTACAAAATTGCCTGTACTGAGGCTGATGACATCTTCTGGCTGGTTGCCAGACTAAAAGCTTCAGGTCAGAAGAAAGCTTCCAATTCTTGTTTCCTGAGCTGCTGAGTGTATGACTGATGGCAGAAGTATGTGCTTTGCCTCTAAATGAACAAAGGATCCAGTTTGGTAATCTCTAAGTAATAACTGGAGTGAAAGAAATGACTGGCAACCTAATGATGATCCCAGATATAGACCACTTGGTACAGGGCACTGTCTGGGGAGCCACCTGCACAACTGATGGTAGGAAATGTGTGCCTTGTTCTGATGTTGGACACCTCCATGGCTGAGGGCAAAGCACTTAACTTCTCTGCCTCGAGAGCCAGAAGGAGCAGCACTGTCAAGACTGGTTCAAAACACCCTGACACCAGCTGTAGAAACCTGGAAAAGAAGTTAAAAAAAAAAAAAAAAAAAAAAAAAAAAAAAAAAAAAAAAAAAAGAGGCAAAATCTAAATGTTTCACTTCAAAAGAGAGCTGGAATTCAGAGCTGGTTTTGCCATTAATTTTTCACATAACCACTGCAACCAACTAATTTTTCAATTCTCATGCTTCATTATTCAGTGGAAAGTGTGTGGGGAATGAACTGGTTTGTAGATCATTCCAAGCAGCTTATTAATTTAGCATGGATGGCTAATAGGATTTGTTTTCATCTTTGAAAAATGAATGAAATTTCTCCTTTTTCATTATTTAAAAGTGAAAAAATTAATGTGCTAATTCTTATCCATTCTCAGGAATGCACCCTTCTGCTTAAACCCTACAGTTCAATTCTCTGAAACAAAGTGTTCTGTGAAACTGCACACAGCTAAGCATGAATAATGAGATACACCTTGGTCTTTCTAAGTAAATAACCCAGCAGTGCTGAACCAGAAGCCTCTTGGATACTAGATGAACAACTCCCCTCCTTCCAACATCCAACCTCCTTACACTAGAACAGTATTTATTTTTCTATGGCAACCAAGTAATCTCAGGTAGTTTTTCCACTAGTTGCAAGTTTAGACTAAAGTATTTTCCTTCCAAAGCAAAACACTACTTAAAAAGACGAATTTCAAATATTTTTCACATACAATTCCTTTTGGATGGGAATCATAGGCCCCAGATGCCAAGTTGTAGAGTCTGCTTTATTAGCAGCAGCTGGCTCCTTGGCAGGCTTCTGAGGCGGTCGGGCTTGTGGTTTTGGAGTGGCCTCAGAGCCTAGGATGCAGCTGGACTGCTATGCTAATGGACTAGCCAATTTGTTTGTAGTCACCTTTGGCTATCCCAGATTTGTACTGTTTTATCCACTTGAAAGGGAGGTCTTGGAAAGATTCCCTATTAACACCGATATGTTGACTTTTCCTATCATAGTTCATATTTTATACGAGAAAATAAGTGCAACACACAGTCCTACATTAAAACATGCGTTATTTAAGCAATTGTACACACACTATCCATTTCACTCTGAATGGGGTGTTTTCCAGCTGCTAGATTCATCTAAGTGCCCAATTACAACACAATTCCCTTCACTCCCAATTGAGAAAAATAAAATAAGACAAAGTAAATACAAATAAATTGTGCAAATACCACTTAACAGCTCACATTAGGAAAACACTGTTCTCTCTATACCCTACTGTACGAAGGAGTAATTTTTGTGAGCTGGAGAGTTCTTACTAGCCAATTATAGAAAGGATGAGAGGATGCCACCAACTTTTAGTCTGTTGATGGGATTTTGGAGCTGAGTGAACAGAAAATCTCCTATTAAGCAAAAGACAATCATCACAGTTGAAGAGAATTCAGAGCAGTAAGGGAAATATTGGGAAAAAAAATAGATCAAAGTAACAGCAACCCTCCTGCCTTTGGTTTGTTTCCTCAGTGAGGATCAGCACCAGGAGGTAAGCTGTATTTCTCATTCATAGAGAGGTGGAACAGACAAGTGAATAAAAAATGAACATTGAAGCGAGCAACACAGACACCTCATGTATT